CACTAGCATAGTTTCAAACGTAGTTGTTTCTCCAAACTTAGCAAGCAATCTGAGATCGTGTTGAAGGAACGAACATAGCAGCAGAAAACTCGTTTAAAAGCAACAAAACCCTCAATACCCATTGTTAGCATCGAGAAAAATGAAACGCCGGGAAAACACAAAAAAAATCATTTAAAATTTGAGTATGAACTGTGGCTATGCCGCGCTTTGCCGCAATCGACATGCTCTAGTTCAAAATCAAATTCGTCCACCTCCGAGACTACATAAACAGAATCGTTATGCAGACGTCCCAATTTGAGAATCGCTGTTGTATAGTAGTCCCTTTATTAGGTTACCAACATTGATAGTCTATCAATATTATTGAGTATTAGGAAGTTCTGAATGTCAGTCATCTTCTGTAGGTTAATGTTCATATCGAGAGCAAACTCAGAAAAGTCGATGCGACTCACCTCAAGTTAATGTCAATTCCTCCCAACTGAAGTGACGGTTCTACACCGCTTCCGATAGTAATTACGCAGCCTATTTTGTCGTCGTTTCTCTGGAAACATTTGGAAACTCATAACTACTTTTTTCTGACACAATGACTGACAATATTTTTGTGCCTTTCGATTTTTTGCAGACGGAAAAACTCTGTCAGCAGCGTCAGACAAGGATTATTACAGAATATTGCACCATCAGCGAGACCATGGAAAGATTCAAAAAATACTGGAGCTGCCCTGAATAATCTACATGACTGCGTTTTGACAAAGCTAAAACAAAACCCAACGAAGTGGCTCTAGCAGCCTTCCAAACTAGAATCTTCTCGGGATTCATGTAGCCATATTTTTCATACTCCCGAGGTGTTATTCTAGGCGCGTAACTACGGAATAACACTAGTTGAGGAGGGGCAGACTTGATCTTTGCGGCGGTTACAAGAACCCTACAAAACATGACCGAGGTATGTACTTGAGATTAGCACCGTCATACTTCTGCTGTTTGAGACTGGCCATGGTCGTCTGCGGTCCATAAGTCTGCCTGAGTAGTTCTTCTATTCCACGCGAGTTATGCTTTGGAAACATCATGTTGTTACCACAGAAAGTTTGGCGACGAGCGCACATGAAAA